GAGATCAGCACCAGGAGGATTACTCCATAACTTAGAGGCCAGCCGGGTATCCTAGAGGAAAGGGCTATTCAGATAGAGAAGGGAGCACCAAATAAAGGATGTTTGGAGGATCCTCCCAGGAGGGGAGATGCATGTCGAAGGTAGACTATGGACTGAACATGTTTGCCACTCAATGCCTCTTTTGCAGACCACAACACCCAAAAGGAGAGAGAGAACACAGGGGATTGCCCTGCCACAGAGACGGGGGGATGGGGGGATGGGGGTGGGAGGGATATTATCCATGGTGGTGGAAAATGGGCACTGGTGGAGGGATGGGTATCTGATCATTGTATAATTGAAACCAAAGCACAAAAAATTGTAAATCTACAACTTTAAAAAAAATAAAATAAAATAAAGGGAAAAAAAAAATATATATATATATATATGGCTTTACAAAATAAAAAAAAAAAAAAAAAAAAAAAAAAAAAAACGTGCAGTGGAGAGATGGTACACTAGAAAGATATATGTGCTACTGAGAGATAGTACGCCCTTCGTGCAACAGAGCTGGGTTCAATTCACAACACCCTGGAGTATTCCAGGACTGAACCTTGAGCACAGAGCCAGGAGAAAGCCCTAACCACCACTGGGTGTGGCCCAGAGCCAAAAATAAATAACTGCTTTTGGAAGAAAGTGCAAAAACAGATCCATTCATTAATATTTTGGTAAATGATTTTGTCTTCACTATTAATTCTCATTATAGTTTGTTCTATTAACCATCTTATTGAATAAAATTAACTATGAGGTGCCACTGAAATCTGAGGTCCTGCCTACCACAGACCTTCTGTTCTTCTACCTAGTGCAATACAGTATTAAGCATACCTGAGATAATGATCTAATCTTGCTGGAACTTGAAGGCAGAGCCAGTGACATAACTTGAAAAACCTGTGCAAAATAAAAATGTGAAGAAAATGTTCAAAATGTAGGATGAAAAAAGTACATGAAAGGCACTGAAGTACACAAAAGCATTTTTGTCTAACAAGATACTTGTAAAACATAACCAGGAATAGTGACAGTGAGTAATAAGCCTAGAGAAAGAAAAAATTGTATGTCATAATTGTATATAATAAATAATACTTTCTAAAGTTATCAAGCTAGTAAGTGATATCTTGATATTTCTGCTTCACTTTTCTCCAAGTTCATTTATTAAATCATCAAAATGTATACTTCTAGCAACTTTAAGTGATATAATTAAAAGGAAATCAGTCACTCTTGGCAAATGAAAGACCGTGCATAATTTTGGGTAATTTTTAATTTTGAGAAAAATTTGCTGATGCAAGTGACACTGGAGCTGTTAGGAATTTTTCCTAGGTTTTGACAACATTGTGATAGAGTTTTTAATAAATTTGTATTGCGATGGCATTGGTTTATAAGTGGCAGGTGCACAGCACTATGATTTAACGTTGTCTGCGCTGCATGCATCATCACCGCCACCAGAAGCCTAGTTTCCAACAATCTGTGCCTTTTTAAGCAGATTAGCAGACGGCGGCTGTTTTCATTTTAATTCTTAATTTATGTTTGAAAACAGGGTGTACCTCTGAGTTCATACTTTTCATTATATTTTTGCTATCTTGAGTTTTAAAAACTGAAACAACTAGTTTCATCACCACACAGTTGACTCTTGCTACTCATTTTACCCACTAACCCTGTTCCTCTCTGGTAACCACCAATCTCCCTCTGGTTCTGCTTGGTTTGATTTTGTGTGTTCACTTTGTTTCTTCATAGTCCACACTGGCTTGTCTTTCCCCATCTAACACGCTCCAGGTTCATCCATGTTGTCACAGAGGGCAAAATGTTATCCTTTTTAACAACCAAGTAATAATCCATTCTTTATTTGCCACGTCCTCTTTATTCATTTTATCCTCAGTAGTCACTTAGGTTGTTTTCCACATTATTCTCTTAGAAATAATGCTTGGATGGACATGGTGTATATTAAAATTTGTGTTTCTGTATTCTTCAAATAAGTAGCTGTCATGAAATAGCTGGATTATGTTACTTCTGTTCTTAATTTTTTCAGGAACTTCATGCTATTTTTCATAGTGGTGCACCCAATTATATTCCCACCTAAGCTACAGATTTTCTCTTCTCTAAGCAGTCACCAACACTTTGTTCCTCCTTGACTTTGGGGGAGTGAGATTTGGGCCATCCTAGCTATACTCAGGACTTACTTCTGGCTCTGTGCTCAGGGGTCATTCCTAGCAGTACTCAAGAAATCATAGCCCATCTCTTGGGCTACAAGTAAGGTAATTATTTGCCTTAGCCCTTGTACTACCTCTCTAATACCCATAACTTTATTTTAAATATGAATTTATACAACATCACATTAATGTTTCTCTGGCATGTCCTGTAAACTTACAGCAGTCCTACAAGAAGCACTTCATGATTGCATATGATTCCAGATGCCTGGTTTTGATTTTTATTGCTATATCTTCAGTAGCAAAATATTAATTTTTAAACTTTAAAGGAACTTTAAGCTTTATTTAAGAAACTGTATCCTTCATTAACTGGTTCATTTGAAGGTACTTATAAAAATATTATCAGCCATCAATTGCAATAATCCTTACACTTTATTTTTATTTCTTTTACTGTAGATATTTGCTTTGCAATATTGCAGTTTTAAAATCCAAGGTTTAAAAACTCTGAAAAATTCTAATATCTCTTTAATTAATGCCTTATTGCAGTATCCGTGTGTCTGCTTTTATTTTGTAATAATTTACTAACATTTATTGCCTCACATTAGTGGTTCATATTCTGGTGCTCGGGCAAAAGAAGTATTACTTTGAGTCTGAGGATGGGCTCTGGGAAGATAATGAAGTCAGCCTCCCAGCACCCTCCTCACAGCTTTTTACAGTACTACTGCCACCTTCACCATCACTAATATGAACCTAGGTCCCTGGTCCGCCAACTTGCCCTCCCCTTCTAAGTCCCAAAAGCACCCCAGACTGCTTCTGGCATAAATACATACAACAGGAAAGCCAAATGGTTTGCATCCATACATACTGCCCTGCATGGCTCCCTCTGGTCTTGCTCATTCTCCAGTGTCTCACTAAACTTTATATACAAAACCCAAGGTCTAAGGTAAGACCATTATGAATTTTGAGATGCTAACAATTGGACATTAAACCAGATGCAGGGCCCTGTGCCTGTACACAAGCCGCATATGCTGCTGAAGGCTTCAGGATGGAAGTGTGGAAATAAGTTGATCCTTTATGAATGGATCTGGAGGCAGATACTTGTCCGCCTTTGGCATTCCATCCTGGAAACCCATCAAATGGGCCATGGAACTGAGGTAGTTGTAGACCTTAATTAGTTTCTCTGAAAGCTGTTCCAAGCTTACTGTTTTTGATGAAAATGCTAGACACCAAGGCAGTCTCTCTTTGGAGAGAATCTCTTTATAGATTCAGATGAGGATTTCTCCCAGATTCTAGAGAAAGTGGGAGTATGAGAGCAGGAAGGAACTAGCATTAATTGAATATTTATTATGTTAATTTATGCCTACTGATTCCTTTAATTTAACAAGAGTTCTGTTAGATCCTTATGTATGGGAAACTGAACTGAGATATTGAATAATTTTCAATCGCTGCAGCAATAGCACAGCAGGTAGGGCGTTTGCCTTGCACATGGCCAACCCGGGTTTGAGTCCTCTGTCCCTCTTGGAGAGCCTGGCAAGCTACTGCAAGTATCCCGCCCGCACAGCAGAGCCTGGCAAGTTCCCCGTAGCATATTTAATATGCCAAAAACAGTAACAGCATGTCTCACAATGGAGACCTTACTGGTGCCCACTCAAGCAAATTCAATGAACAACAGGAGGAAAGTGCTACAGTGTATGTATGTATGAGAAACTGAACCGAGATATTGAATAATTTTCCCAATATTATACAGCTTGCAAATGCTCGAGTAGAGATTCAAACCTAATGTTTCTAGCTGCACACATCAAAAGACCATTTTAGTATCCTGGATAATAGTGCTGGCAACAGACTACCTGAGTTCAAATCCTGACTCTCCCATGTAATTATTTTGTGTCAGATGGTGTTCGTTTCCTCATGTTTATGATAGAATGGAATGAGGAGCGGGAGAGACGGTGTGAGGGTTCAGGCACTTGTGTGGCACACTGCTAATGCCAGTTCAATTCCCAGCACTGCATATGGTCTCCCTGAGCACCACACAGGAGTAAGCCCTGACCACTGCTGGGTGTGGGGGGAAAAAAGAGATGATAGAATGAGAGTAGTAGAGCACCAGCCTTGGTGGGTTGTTGGAGCAATGGTTTTTCAGTTCTCTTATATCCACAGAGCAGCTCATTTAAAGGGTTAGATATTTATAAATCATCAGAGCAGGGGGCCAGAGAGATAGTATAGCAGGTAGAGCTCTTGGCCTTGCACACAGTCAACCTGGGTTTGATCCCCAGCACTCCATATGTTCCCCCTAACCCTGCCAGAAGTAATCCCTGAGCTCAGAGTCAGGAGTAAGCCTTGAGCACTTCCGGATGTGGCCCCCAAACAAACAACAAAATGTAACAATGCCTGACAGTAAGCCTGAAGTCAGTGTGGCTGCTACTCAGTTCAACCTTTGCTATTATTATTACTGTGTCCCTTCCAAAGGTCAAAAGAGAGATGAGCCAAACAATAGTGTAGCAGTAAGACACACTTGCCCTGCACATGGTAAACAAGGGTTGGATCCTAGTCACTTTTTATGGTTTCCTGAGTTCAGCAGGGGTGATCCCTGAGTGCAGAGCCAAGAGTAAGCCCTGAGCACTGCTAGAGGTGGCCCCCAAAAATAATCGTTAAAAAAATAAAAAGATTCACAGCAAGTGTCTCAGTCTCTGCTGTTTCCCTCTGGTGTTTCCCTAAAAGTTCCTTTGACACCTGTTATGATCCATGATCTGACCCCTGCCCGGGCAACCCTCTTCCCGGGCTCCTTGCAGCCTGCCGTTCCTAATCAATCCGTCTATGCTGTGTGTGTTACAGGTATGAGACGTCTCTGTTGGATTTGGTCCAGTCTCTGAGCCCAACATCTGCTACCAAACTCCAGCCGCATCCCTCCAGAGAAGCCGGGGCCTGGCATCGCAGCACCTGCCAACTCAGTCCTGTGAAATCATCCTGGAGCAAGAGGGGGACCATCAGGACCTCTGAAGACCTGGAGGAGAATCAAATTCTGAAAGACATTTTTTTTATTTGACACTGAAGCGTATGCTGCAAAACTTCCATCAGAAATCTGTTTTGTTTCTTTTTAATATACTGATCTAGTATTTTAAATTATTCCATTAAAAAAAGAATTCTCTCTCCTTTCATAGGGACCTAGCTCACTAACATCCTATTATATATTGAATATAAAATCATTCTACCACCCAGGGTGTGTTTGAGCAGACCAATCAGTGAATTCCATTTTAAAGGTAGTGGGTACAGAGCCAGTATCTTTTGTAGCCAAGCAGAGTTTAGAAAACAGATGCAGCAGACAGAAGACACACTTTTCCCCCTGCAAAGCAGTGATCAGGGAGTCTCCACCCTCATTTCAAGAGTGTTTCCTTCTCACTCTTTGGTTGGGAAAAGTTGATTCTCTCTTATACCCAAGAAAAACTTTCCACCGAAAGGTCCTCTTAATTCAAACATACTCTCTTTGTAACAAGTAGTGTCAAGAAGATAGGCCCTTTTCCCTTTCCACACTGCTCACACCTCTGACCTCTAGTTGTAATGATGAGTGCAGTAAAAAATTGTCAATGCTGGAGTCACCAAAGTGCCCTGCCATCACGGCCAACGCTGCCAACCATCTGTGAGTCAGCCTGGCAGCTGCTGGTCCCTTAACTGAAGGGCGCAGTGAGCTAGAGAGGGAGCACCACCAAACCCTGGGAACCAGCGGTAACTAGCACAGGAGAGGGATTTCCATAGAGAGAAAACAGTGAAGGAACAAGGCTAAAATGCTCTTCCCACACTCCCTTATATACCGAGGGATGAATAAAATTCAATGCTCAGTGTTTTTCTTGATCCACACGTCTATTTTATTCACCCTGGGGAATGTCCCATGGTTGAGTCCGACCACTAGAAGGAGAGGAGCATCCAGCTGCTGCAAGCTGGGAGCCCTTGCTGATCCCTACTTTCACCCCAGAAGGAAGACAGACCCTGGACTGGCCAGGCCACTGACTCATTACCCCAAACAACCATCTCTACCTTCCAGATCATGCCCTACTGCTGCCAAGCATCCGCCCCTGCACCCCTATTTTCCCACTGGACCTCACTTTGTGCCATTGGAAGCCTGTGAGGGAAGCTCACCGGAGGCCTCATTTACTCTCTTTCCTCCTGCAGTGCTCTTGAGAAGGTCCTTCAACACACTACGTGCTCCTGGAGCCCCAGTTCACAGAAGCCGGGGAATTTCCAGACATGGAATTCTCATGACTTTGATCTGGAGGGTATTGCTTGTTCCCTCTCTCTCTTCCATCAACCCCAGGTTTCACATGTGGTCAAGACTGTCAGTAGACAAGGTCAATACAACCCAGGGCAGCCTGTATTTAGTAAGCTGCAAGGATTTCCTGAATTCTTTACCAAAACTAATTTATTTCAGCTGTCAAATTCCTTCCCATAGAGCTACATTGTCTGGCTAAATTTCGGCCTTGTCTCTTCAAGCTGACGTCCTTCCGCCTCCATCCAACCTTCCTTCACTTTGCTCTTTTTGTGCCTTGGAGGAGAGAGGAACAGAGTCTGCTAATGCTACATTTTTCAGCTGGGATACAGATACAATGCCAGACCTAACTAGCTGTGTGTGTTCACTTAAAAAGTTGAAAAATCATTGCAATTTCTTTTTAAAGTTTATCCTCCTTGTGAAAGAAATTTGATTAGTTTGATCCCATTTCTCAGAAAAGTTAACGTTTCTTTGATGTAGTCAAAAAAGGTAATTTTCTCAGTTGAAGTTGGGTTTCTGAAACCCTCTTTTCCTTGCTTCCTATGTTATAACTACCTGAAGGGCACCCAGCTCCCTTGAACCATCCCCATCTTCCCCCCTCGCCCAGTGCCCTCACTTCCCACCAGAAAGACAAGACTATGATGATGGTCTCTCCAGTTTGCCTTTCAAGGAGTAAATGGGTGGGGGCTGGAGCGATAGCACAGCAGGTAGGGCATTTGCCTTGCACATGGCCGACCAGCGTTCAATTCCCAGCATCCCATATGGTCCCCAGAGCACTGCCAGGAGTAATTCCTGAGTGCAAAGCCAGTAGTAATAATCCCTGTGCATCGCCAGGTGTGACATCATGACCATCCTGTTGTTCGTCGATTGCCTCGAGCAGGCCCCAGTAACGTCTTCATCCTAGCCCTGAGATTTTTTAAAAAATGCCATATTCAAGGCTCTTTCAGGGTTAGGAGTATGAGACCCATCATTGTTACTGGTATTTGGCATATTGGATATACCACGGGGAGTTTGCCAGACTCTGCCGTGTAAGCAGGTTACATTCAGTAGCCTGCCAGTTTGTCTAAAGTAGGAATGAGATAATAAGATGTCGTGCGCCAGGAGCTGGGTTTTATAGTCTCTGGGTCTTGGCCGTTGTTGGGATTACACAGCGCCAGGGGACCAGTTGGTGGGTGTGTCCCCTGCCTACTGGAATATGAAGGATCTGGGTGGAGGATGCTCAGCCCCGATCCAAGCAGGCTTGGAGATCTCAGCCCCAGGACCTGCATGCCTTTGTTCCTCCGCCAGTACCTTCATGCGTGTGGAGATTGGTCTCAGCTGGTGGTGGCTGGTTCTGGAGGTCTTCGGCTGCCGGAGCCCTGGTTGGGGCGGGGAGGGAAACTCAACCCGCTCCCCTCCAAGGGGCCCCGGCAAGGACAGCCAGGCACTGGGGCAGGAGTCTCTGCATGGGGCTTAAGGAAAGGTTACTGGAGGCTTCTATGCCTCAGAATGGAAGTTGACTACTTCTTTCCCTCTGCCTGAATGAGCAAGTTGAAAGGGTGAGGAGGTTTTCAGCAGAGCAGTAAGTTTGTGCACCATGTATTGTTTTGGTTAACAATGTATGTTAATTTTTAATCTATGTCTTACTTGGATCTACATATTCATATATGTATAAACATATGCACACATATATTCTCACACCTTGAAGCTATTGTAGAGTCTGCAGACTTCACCTCATTGTCAGTGAACTTCCCAAGAGAGGGTCTGGCACAAAGGCCTTTCCTTCATGCTGATCCTCCTAGCAGAGTCTGGCCGGCAACTCTGAACACATACAGGGGCTACTGGTAGTAATGCTACGTGACCAACCCTGCCGTACAGCCTTCTCTCGGTGGTGGAGTGAGTGTAACAACCAGTGTGTACAAAAATGGAAAGGGATAAATGATGCCCACAAAAGCTCCCTGTGTAGGATCCAAAGAGCTTAAATTAGAAAGGCAAAGTTGACCAAGGAGTGACATTTGCTCAGACACCCTCCCAGAGCCTCACTTGTGTTTATTTCAAAAGTGAGTGACTGCCAGGGTGGGGACATCCTGGGGTGCCCCAGATGCCCTGTGGCACGCGGGGCTCTCCTACAAAGCTACTCCTTCCACTGAGCCCTGCTCCCAGCACCATGGTTCATGGGAGAGATTTCTGCTCAGAGCCGGGGCAGTACACGTGACTCACAGCCTTGGGGAGATGGCAGCTCCAGAGTATTCCTCTGAGCTCACGTGCCAGCCTCATCGCACTGGGTAGGATTAGTCATGTGGCCAACAGTCAGTATGTGTGCGTGTGTGAGATTTTCAGCTAATAAATTATGACTGATTTCCCCCTGTGGTTTGGATATAAAATTGTCCTTTGAACACACCTCATCTGATCAGTGGGGCACAGCATGAAGGCCAAGGTAGAGCCCTGGCTCATCGAAATGTTCTTTCCCTCAGAACTTGTTAAAGCAGTAGGCGCTTGGGGCTCAATGGAAGAAAGCAAGTGGCAGGCTGCATTCTGCTTATTTTTCTTGATTGACTCCAGGTCCCTCCACACACACACACACACACACACACACACCCTTCTCAAGGTGCAGTGCCCAGTAGATTACTGGAATGAGAGGTCACTTATCTGAGTCCCCTTCACGTGCCTCCTCGAAACTGCTCAGCCAGTTAGCAGCAGTCAAGATAGCAGTCAAGATAGTCAAGAAAGCAGTCAAGAATAGCCCTGCTATTGACTGGCACTGGCTGTTATCACTGGGATTATGGACTTGAAGCCTTGAGTGCTGGAAATGCCCAATTCTGACATTATACCTAGAGGTGCATCTAAGACCGAGACCCTCTTCTGCCTTCCCATCTGCCAGCCCACATAGCACCCACATAGCACCTCCATCTGAGGAGATTCTGCAGCTACCCCTCAGAGAGAGAAGTATCAATCAACCAGCTCCCAGTTAAAACTGGAATGACTGAAGTTCTCCCCCAGCTTTCCTAAGGTTACCCTGGCACCCAGGAACAAGGTTGGAGATGAGTGGGGCAGGTCACTCACTACTTAGGAGAAAAATCGCCTGGATTCTGGAGAACCAGTTTCATAAACAAGTAACCAATTACTTGGCAACAAGTAGTTCCTCAGCCTCAAGTTTCCAACACTTCAGTCACAAGCATGAACTTGGATCTCACAAACTTATGACTTCATTGCTCTTGTTTCCTTTCTGTGCATCTCATACACTCATAAATACCTAAAGAAAATGCTTCTGACCTTTTCTCTCCCTTCCCACTTATCCACTGTCCCCCCACCACCACCACCACCATCTTTCAGAGCACAGAATTCTGGGGTTGGGTTGGATTTTGGAGCCACTTACCTGAGTTCCCTTGTGCCTTCAGTGTCAGGTCTGGCTACCACATGTCCCTTTTCCACTACAGTACTTATCTTGAATCATTTTGAGGAGGAGTGGGCAGTGTTAAACCACACACAACTGTGCTCAGGAGTTACTCCTGGCTCTGTATTCAAGGATCACTTCTAGTGGGCTAGGGGACCACATTGTAGAGTTGGGGGGCAAACATAGGTTAACCACTTGCAATGTAAGTGCCTTAACCACTGTACTATGTCTCTGGCCCAAAATGAAAATTTTTAAAAATATCAACTCTCACTGTCACTGTCCTCCCGTTGTTCATCGATTTACTCAAGCGGGCCCAGTAACATTGTGAGACTTGTTACTGTGTTTGGAATATCAAATACGCCATGGGGAGCTTACCAGGCTTTGCCCTGCGGGCAAGATATTCTTGGTAACTTGCCGGGCTCTCCGAGAGAGAAATAGAACTCAGGTCGGCCAGGTCGACCGCATGCAAGGCAAACAAGTATTGAATTTTCTAC